TTTTTTTTTTTTAATTTGTAAATAAACATCTAGTTTTTAATTTTAAAGGTTTTTGACAAAGAAAAATTATTTTTATTAGAATTTAAAAAAAAACGCTTATCAATCTAAATCGGTTTAAACAGTCAAAAATATAGCTAAAATGTCAAATAAATATTGTAAAAAAAATACTATAAGTACATATATAAATAGGAATAATTTACTCTATAAGACTATGTAGATTTGACGATGATTTATTTATTTTAATATAACCTTTCAGCTTACAGATTTAAAATTGTATTAAATCTACACATAAAATAGTATAAACGTATTGTTTATATTTATACTCTATTATTATTACTTAAATGTATAAAACAATTTAATCTTTTGTAATTTTATTACTTTAAAATTGATACATTACATTTTAGATTCTAAGATAATATGATAAGCATAAAAAATATAATTATAAAATAAACTACATTCGTCATTTAATAAAGCATAATATGTTTAATTATCTGTATACAATATTGAAATAGAATAAAATATGAGTTTGTAAATAAAATATAAAAATTACTGATGTAGATTGTAAGTAAATAAAAAAAATAAACAAAACATTTTATTATGTTTTATATATAGGGCTAGAGACCTAAAGAAACCAAATAGGTTATAACATTGACTTATGAACAAGTATTTTGTAGCTTATAAAGAAAAAAAAATTAATACAATATCATGTGACATAAAAAATAATATCTATACATATTATATAATATATTTAATAAGAAATTTTTAGAAATTGGAAAAAAATAGATTGAAATGATTGAGTATATAAATAATAAATAATCTATCTATACCGTATGTTTTACCAATTATTTGTGTGTTATGTAAAAAACATAAAGCCGATCGATAAAGAATACGCCTATTATGGTCAATTTATGTCAATTTGTCTGATGGTTTAGTGTATTGTATTTATTTTCAATTTGTGTTAATAAAGTTAGTATAATATTATAAAATAGATACACTTTTTATCTGTGAAAATTAAATTAAAAATGCCTAATTCAATAATGTATAAATTTGTAATTTTCAGTTTTACAATGAAAAATAAAATATTTTTAAAAGCATATGTTTTTACATTTTTGCATATTTTTAGTGAATGAAGTCCCTAGCCCTATTTTTATATTATACTTGTCTTCATTGCATTTGGTATATATAAAAAATAGATGTATAAATAAAACAGTTTAAAACAAACTGTAAGTACACATCTGCAATAGTAATTGTAATATCATAAGAAATTATTTGTATGACTATTATATTTTATACAATTTATCATCAATGTATAATTATTAATATAATAATATGTCTATTATTATTATATTATATCGGTTGTCTATAATGTACGAAACAAATTATTTCAAGAACGTACTGGCAAATGAAGGTAGTGTATTGTGGTTTTGGAATTCGTATGTTCCCAAATCTCTCCACTGCTTCAATCTATCGACGAATTTAATTTTTATGCCCAGAGGATAATTGGACAAGAGTAAATCGCACTGGGCCGGGGTGATGTGTTTCAGTGCTTCGATATCGACTAGTTCATCTACGAAAAATTGTTCAAAATTATAATGATATTAATATATTATTTTGTCACGACATATGATAAACCACAAGAGATTTAAAACTGAATATTGTAATTACACTATGTAACATATAATGAAAAATACGATTCTTACCGCAGCAAGTTCTGAATAAGAATCCCATGTTCCAGTCAGTGAGTAATGACAACAGCTTTAATTTATCCGCACTGTTTATACGTAAATGCTCCGGTATTTGTTTACTCGTATTTTCCATTTCAGGTACCGCCATATTATTATGCGCATTCTGCATCGGTTGGTACCAAAACCAATGGTTTACATGTTCATTATTGAGATTATAGTCTTGATTATTCATTTCTAAAACGTATTTAATATTCTATACAGAAATACAAAAATAATTCAAAGAATCTTATGTAAATTTAAAAAATAAACCAATAAGATTCTTAACGCAAAGACTCGAAAAAGTAAAAAAAAAAAGCGAACAAATTTGTAATTAATTACGAGTAGTTGTGTGCAGTTCAGGTGTCGAGTATATATCGTAATTGAGTAGTTCGCTACTGAAATGGATTAAATTATATAATATACAGTGAAACATCTGAATAGCGGACATAGTAGATAATCAAAATGTGTCTACTGTTCGAAGATGTTTACTGTTCAAAGAATATATTTTTGAAATTAATTAAGAGTAAATAATGCATAAAAGGAAAAAAACATGCATCAAGTTAAATTGCATTATAATATTATTGTTTAATGTTTTAATGATATAATAATTTTAATATTTTAACAGTACACATTTAAATAAATATAAAAAAATAATGCATATATAATGTGTATACACAAAATATTTCAATTTTATGAGATAAAATTGGTTTTTGAATAAGTTCATTATCGTTGTACT